GTTGACTGGTTTTTTTTTTAATGAATGATAATGGAATGGTAACCCCACCCGCGCTATCGGTATACACCGGCGGGGCACCAGTGAAGGATGATAGGTGAGGATGAAGTAGGTCAGTTAGCTTATCGTGACGAATTTAACAAGAATTGTTCACGATGATTTCCAGGGGGAATCACGTGGAGGTCGACCCTATAAGGCATATTGCTAGCAATGGGGCTGTCAAATTCTATTGCTAACAATCCCTTTCCCCCCGTTGTTGACTGGTTGACTGACAGTTTTAAGTTGAATGTAACACTCAATTTGTCCAAACTTGGTGGCAAAATCTTAGAGTTCATTATAGATATATAGTATATAAATTTGTAATTTTATTTGGCTCTTTTGTTGGCTGTTCCTATTGTTGGCCAGTGCAATATCTTCCTGATGCATTGCAATGTTTTGAATTTTTTCACGACTATCAAATAGTATGTCTCTAGAATATTTGATGTGTTTGACAAAGATAGATTATATGTATTGGCAAGATTCTATTATTTTTCTATTTGAAAATGTTAAAAAATTATGAGCACTCTAGTGGACTAGTGAAACAAAGCTGATCAAATCAAGTTGAAGTACGAAATTTCTGTATATTTTTAATAGATAATTATGTTTTTGTACGTTTATTTACATTTGTACTCTATACTCTACTATTATTGTACTACAACTAGTCAGTGTGTGTGACTGTTAAGTGAGTTTTCTCGAATATATACGATGTGAAAGGGGATGCATTTATTAATTCCATAAAATAATCATTCTATCTAATATATAAAATTCTCGTGTCGCGGTGTTTGTTACCAAACTCCTCCGAAATGGCTTTACCGATTTTCATGAAATTTTGTATGCAAATTGGGTAGGTCTGAGAATCGGCCAGCATCTATTTTTCATACCCGTCAATGATAAGGGTGACCCACCCCAAAATATTTTTTTTTATATTTTTGACTAATTTTTTATTTTTATTTTATTATAATTTAGCATTGAAAAATACATACAATTTTAAATTTTCATATGTTCAATGATTTCTAATTTTCATTATAAAGGTGGTATTATTTCACCGGAAACACAATTAAGAATCATATAAATCAATCATGTTACTTTTAATGTCTGTAATTTACTGACGTCAATGCAAGGTTATAGCGGTCGCCGTCTACGCAATATGCCAATCAGATACGTGTTGCTATAGCAACGTATAAAGTAGAGCGTCGACAGGTGCTGTATGTAATGACATTGTAGAGACGTTAAGTTGCCATTAATACTACTGTATTATTTATTTATTCTATTTCTATTATTAGTATAATATTATAAGTTATATCTGATTGTTGACAAGAGTTAGAATTGATAACCGGAGCGTTACGTTAGTTATAAATTAAATATAGTTTCCATTTTAAAGTACATACAGGTTCACAGAGATGTATAATAATAAACTGTCTCTATTAATAAAATCAAAACCCGAGGTGAAACACCAGACGCGCAAAATGGCGTCGGTGAAACAAAATGGCCGAAAATAGATCAGTTCTCTGACCTCGTCCTTGACTCAGAACTGAAACGTCAAATAAATACGAGGAAATCTATTGTACATAAATCATCAGAATGCTCCTTCTATCTCCAGTTTTTAAATGATTTGTCTTCTTCTAATATTCTCTTTTTTTTTGAGCCATTTGTATCATAATTTATGTCTACAAATAGTAAATATTCTGAATTAGATGGACATCGTGAGTGTTAACTATTTCCTCTCGCAAGAGACAAGGACAGATTACGTGAGCTGATAGCCAACCAGTAGTTGAAGAGGCACTATAAGAAAAAAATAATAACAATAAACCATTTTAAAATACGTATGCCTTGATTTACTAGAAAATACCTACTGATAGTTGCTGCCCATCAAGCGTTACCATTCCATAAAACTAAGATGCTATGATTCCACCATTTAAACCGAAACACAGCCTTGCAATTCCCCTTCCTTTCCCATGGATGTCGTAAGACTATGAGAATTTAATGGTTAAGGAATGGGCAGCATTGTCTCTTTTAAAACATCAAAACCTAACTGCAGTAGTCAACCCGCCTGCCAAGCATGGGAGAGGCCTATGTTCAGCAGTGAAGAGTAACGGCGAATATCATGATGATGATGATGATGATGACAGCCACACAAGTGCACTAGCTTAATGGCAAGAACACGGGGTATAGGTAACCATGGCCATATAACTTTTTTTATTATTATTTTAAGGACTACCTTTTACAGGTATATCAGCCCGAGCCTGAACTGCTTTCTCAAATAAAGCTTTATCTACTTTCCTTAGATACGGAAAAAGACGAATTAATGGGCATCAATAATTTACAGAGTTGTTAAAAAAATTCTGGTTTAGATTCAGCTAACATAGATTGAATAAGACCAACATTAAATTTATTTAAGTTAAAGTGGCGCATGAGTTCTTCTCTTTCCTTCGTGTTTATACGATACTCTAATAGAATATGATGCACATCATCGATGGTATCACAAGTTTGACAATGGGGTGACCAGGATTAATAACTTTGTACGAACTCTTTGAAGTAAAAAAATGTTTGCGCTTCATACAAGAGGAATAACACCTGAGTCCTCAGGAACGCATGGGGAGTATCATGGGTGAAACAATATACTCTGTTATGTCCATGGTACTGCTCATGTCTATAGGCGACGGTTACCACTTTCCATCAGAGGGCCTGTCAGCTTGTAAGTTGTATAAAAAAATATCTATCCTTACTCTTCATGCAGTATTAGAAACCTACGTGAAACTGATGAAGAGCGTCAGGGGCGTCACAAAAGGTGTTGCAGTGATAAATGGCCGCCGTCAGCGATAGCGTGTTTTCAGTTGCCAATAGTGTAGTACTTTAAATACACGTGAAGATTTCCATTACGTACTTTTATATTCGAAAAAAAATAATTAATCGAACACGGCTCATTGATGCGTATAAAACAAATTGTAAACATTGTGTTATTTTCGTTCTTCATTATGCGCATTTCCGTCGGTCATGCGCCTACGCATCAAATGTTGACGACCGGTGGCGCCATGCGTCCGAATCAGGTCTACAGGTTATACGTAAGCATGGAATCCCCGTACAAAGCTTTATAGATAATAAAAATGGCTTTTAAATGTTTTAATGGCAAAATTTACAAGTGTCAAAGGTATTGAAAGATATTTTTTTATTAGACACCTAAGAAAAAGAACATGACGCCGGACGTTACTATCGCGTTGCATGCGGTAGCGATAACGTGTCTATTCATAGATTTACTTGCAACTAAAAGGGTTGGATTAGTCCTGACCAAAGTCGATAGCATGACAATGGATCGCAACTAATTTCACTAGTCTTAAATGTCGTGGCAGTTGCTCGCCCTCGGAAGATTGTTCGGATAATGAGAAAGCCTCGAGGCCTTGTACCCTAACCTTTGTGGTTGAAAACATATTTTATAAATAGTCTGAAATTAAATAACTACAGATATCACCTAGTTCTTTAGTATTAAAAGCTTCCTAATACCGTAACAATAATATTTACTTGGATATTTTTATTCTTCTATGCCAATAGTTTATGGATTTTTGTTTCTGGAAAATGGTCCTCTAAGATAAAAAATCTGTGATAAATATGTCAAAAACATATAATCCAATAGAAACTAGGATTTACTAGAAAATATTTTTATACTCGTGGTAATGGGAGAGACAGCTTTCAATAATTGGAAATAGCAGTCCCGTATATCGGCTCAAGTCGACCTCCGCGTGGTCGCTCCTACAAACTATTGTGGTTAATTCGTGGTGAATCGGTCACGGTGGCCTTCACCTCTCATCCCTGATTGCTAAAAAGGTATACGACCTAATTGGTAAACGACCCTTCTTTTCAATAATAGTCCGCCGAATAATATCAAGAAAGAAAGAAGGGGAAAGGGATTGTTAGTAATAGAGTTTAACTGACGCATTGCCATACAGCTTATCAGGTAGATCTCCACGCGGTTGCTCCTGGAAACCATTGTGATTAATTTTAGTGGAATTTATCATGACGGGCTAACTGATCTGCTTTCATCGTCACCTATCATCCCTCACTGGTGCCCCGCCAGCGTAATACCAATGGCGACAGCAGGGTTATCATTCCATTATCACACATTAATAAAATAGTATCAAGAGCTATCTGTGCTTGAATATTGTTATCATAAAATCAACGTCTTGTAATAGTATATCACTAATTAGAAATGTCTAGTGTATATCCTGGATACGTACCTATATATCCTATACTAACTATCGATGTGACGTCATCAAAATTCAATATGGCGGATTAAGTCACGGGTATTTTTTGAAACGCATCTAGTTTGTCAATAAACCATAGATAACTCGCAAGAAAATCGTCATAATATCTACGTCTCTAAGACAAAACATGTACCTAATCATTATTTTTAGATCTGTTTTTAATTTCTGTTTTCTTGGTCGACTTCATAAAGGAGTTATATCTCAAAACGATTATTTATTGTATTTATGTATGTTAAGCGATATCTTCGCTCATTTGGATTATTTTTATTTCTAATGAGTATATCCCCGTGTTATTACCACGCTTATTTTAAAGTCGGTTTTTAACAACACCTATTTGTTTTATTAAGAGAATTTTTTAATTGGTTTTTTATTATATATTTTTATGAAAAGCACTATAATATTGACTGAGATATTATAGAGTAAATAAAACAATTTAAATCATTAAATAAAATATTATTGGTACTTTATATCTGAAAATATTGAGTACGTAAGAATAACAAACGAAATAATTTCATTTATTTTATGCTTTTAATAATAATAATTTACTAAATAAAAGCGTATTTTGAAAAAATATCTTGTTTAGCCGCATACATGACTCACGTCCTGTTGCGAAATATAGTAAACTCAAAAAAATATAATAATTATCAATCATCGATGAAGTTTTCTTAATCTATTTGATGATTTTATTAAAACCATTATAAAACTCACCTTTTCAGCTGACCAAGTTTCACTGTAAACACCAAACTGTATAACACAATGCCTTTGTTTTAAAAAATAAAAACAATTACTTTATGAATCTATGACCTTTCCCGCGCGTTACTTTTATAATCAAGTATAACCTCAATTTTCATAAAACTAGCGTGAAATATTAAAGAATTTGTTAAAAAAATCAATTGTTTTGTATATCTCAGTCTGCAAAACTAACGAGCGTTCAGTTTTCTAGCGAAGAGTGAACTGTTTTCAAGCAGCGTTGGAAAATCAAAAGTACTGGAGGGAAGCCAATGTGGCGTCGTGCCAAGTACGAAGTTCGTTGCATGTGTCCAGTTGTAGGGTACTTGTGCCTATTACTAAATAGTTACTTTTTTATACAGTACTGATAGAACAGCCTGCTGTCCAATCAATGACGAATTTGATTCAACCACTTAATGATATACGTTTCCTAGATGAGTTTCCTAGATGGAGCGGTTAGACGGTGCTCCTCCGAGTACCGTCTGACCGCTCAATCTCCTAAGGTAAATATTTAAATATTGTTAAAAGTCTTTAAAAGCAAACACCACAAAGTTTAAAAAAAATATGTTGGTAAAGGGGTCAGGTCATTCTCCATACGATCTCGAAACAATGAGTCTAACAGTCCCATTGCTAGCAATTTTAGGCCCACCTCCACGGGGTCCCCCTGGAAATCATCGTGGTTAATTCTTGTGAAATTCGTCAGGATGAGATAACTGACCTGCATATATCTTCACCTATCATCTCTTACTGTTGCCTCGCCAGCATTACCGATAGCGTAGGCGGGGTTACCATTCCATTACTATTCGTTAAAAAAAAATAGTGTCCTGCGAGCGTATGACGATAGCACAAGCGGGGTTACCATTTCATTTTCACTCATTATAAGTACCCGTATACCTTCAGGTGTTCTTTAACAAATTCGCAATTTTGATTACCGCAAGCACGCTCGCTTACCCTACGTGATCGAGACATAATAAGATAGAGTAAGTATTCACAGTCTGTATATCTCCTTCGGCGGACAAAGATTTCAGCGCAACGAACTCTCATCTCATTATGGAACGATTCCTGAAGATGCTTAACAAAACTTTTATGTCGTAGGTATACAAATTATATTAAATTTTTTTTTTATGTAACTCAGAATGGTAAGCAAGCTGATGTCCTACCGGATGGAAAGGAGTAACCGTCGCCGTAGATATGAACAGTACCATTGACAACAAAGTATGCCGTTTCCTTCATGATGTCCTCCATACGTTGTCAATCGTGAGTTCTAAGGTGTTTTTTTTTTTACCATACCATTGGTATACGCTGGTATTCGCTGGCGGGGTACCAATGAAGGATGATAGGTGAGGATGAAGTAGGTCAGTTAGCCCATCGTGACGAATTCAACAAGAATTGTTCACGATGGTTTCCTTGGGGAACCACATGGAGCTATCAAACTCCATTGCTAACAATCCCTTTCCCCCCAGTTCTAAGGTGTTATGCCTCTGTACCTTGTAAATTCACTGCCATACCCCACCCTTCAAACCGAAACATAGCTATGCAAACACAACTGTTTCACGGTAGAAACACGAATGGGATAGAGGTACCCAAGCAAATGACTTAACCATTCCATTATCATCAATTAAAAAAAAACATTTTGACCTAAAGCACAGTGTGAAAACGACACGTCATTAATGTTAATATTAATTCAGTATACCTTTTTGTTTAATGGGGGGAAAGGAATTGTTAGTAATGGAGACTGAGAATTCCATTGCTAGCAACATACCCAACCAGGTCGACCTCCTCGCGGTTCCCCCTGGAAACTATCATGGTTAATTCCTGATGAATTCATCGTGATGGGCTAACTGGTCTGTTTTCATTCTCATCTATCACCCTTCACTGGTGCTCCGCCAGCGTATCCCGTTAACGCAGGCGGGGTTACCATATCATTTTCACCCATAAAAAAAATCCAGTATACCCAGACATAATAAATAGGTAGGTCCATACATCGATACATACTAAACACGAATAACGAACACCACGCGGACACAGTTGCGGGCATCAGCTAGTTGTATATAAAGAGGGTGAAGGATGATGATGATGCAGTGGACGGTAGGAGTTGATGAATAGACTGACATAGGCCAGCGATCCGCGACGAGACTGGACGAGCGTCGCGTCGCCACCGAGTTAAATTTCATAAAGTTACGTCATTAAGTAACGAGGAACGGATTAGTCCGTGACGATATCTTTTTAAGACGTGAACACACTGGGTGCAAATAAATAATTTATTCTTATTTATTTATTTATTTAACCCTTTATTGCACCGTAAATAAAAATATACAATGACAAGTGAATAATTCAAGTGAAATACAGTAACATAAATACAGATTGAAATATACACATAAAGGTACAAAAGGCGGTCTTATCGCTAGGGCAATCTTTCTTCTTTAACCAAAGGTTGTCTGTACAACCTTTGGTTAAAGGAGAACAGACAGAAAAGGGCAGGTGGCGCAAGAGTACACTCAGTACATTCACTTACATGTCTTACTTTTATGTTACCAGAGGGAAACTTTGTACAAAAATCATCTGAACCTCTGTTCTATTCGTATTTCTGCCGTTGTGTTACTCAAATGAACAAGAAATTATATGACATTAGAAACTATCAATTGAAGCTTTTATTGTACAGAAAATGATATATTATTTCATTATAAGTAATAGTACTACAATCGTTTGCTTGGGCACCTCTGTCCCATTTGTGTTTCTACCGTGAAGCAGTTTTGTTTGCATGGTTGTGTTTCAATTTGAATAGTGGGATATGGCAATGAAATTACAGGGTAGAGAGGCATAACTACTTAGTCCTTAGGAATGGCAACGCATGGGGGGTTTCATGGGCGAAACAGTGTACTTTGTTATGTCCACGGTACTGCTCATATCTATAGGCAAAAGTTAGTACTTTTTATCAGGTGCGCCGTCAGCTTGTTTGCCATCCTCAGTCCCATAAATAAAAGTATTTTAAAAGGAAGAGGGGAATCAATTAGTTTTAACTTCTTCTAGCTGTGTTATACGATTCCATTTTTAAATTGTAAACTGATTTATTACAATTCCTTTTTGCAATAGGCAACGCATGAAACAATATGGGACCAATACGAAAGTAACCTGTACAGTCTCCCTCTGGACTTATGAACTTTACAAGACAGTCTATGTACAGATTTAGAAATAACTTGTTTGTAGCTACTAGTATATTATAATCTTGCGTGTAGTGTGGTACTCGCTTATAAACGTCGATTTGTGAATTCCACAGATGCCGTTAGGAAATGCCACCCCTACAGCGAGCCCAGTGTGCCCCCAGCACGATCCACCCTGATAGTATTCACTCAGATCGCGTCTTCGGCGGCGACAGGACAGTTATCTGTCTATTTGTATATCCGGATCTACGGGAACCGAGGTCAGTTGTAAAAGTAATTGTTTAATTAAATTGTATAGTTGTTTTTAACCGATTTATAAAAAAGATATTATCAATTTTAGTGCAGTAATTTTTTTTTATACAAACTTAGAATGCCAAACAAGCTGACGGCCCACCTGATGTAAAGTGGTAACCGTCGCCTATAGACATGAGCAGTACCATGGATATAACAGAGTATACTCTTGCGCCCATGATACCCCCCATGCGTTGCCATTCCTGAGGACTCAGGTGTTATTCCTCTGTACCCAGTATCGTATGTTTATCTATAAATATCATTTTTTATTTATTTATTCAAACTTTATGGCTTCATTTTAGAGGATTTAATGCTATAGGCATTCTCTACTAGTCAATCTTTAAGATGTGCAGAGATACTAGATGGCGGTTTAAATAATAAAATAGTTTATATTTTAATATAATTACATACATACAAACAATCAAAAAATAAACATACATGTTAATATAGTATTTATGTATATACTTTGCCACCTCAGTGGTATAAAGAAAACTAAATTTAAAACATTTATAACTTAATCTATTTTAAATTTAGTTCATATTGATTCCTAACACTAAAATTTCGAGAAGGGATTGTTAGTAATGGGGAGGTAAGTCTTCATTGGTATCTATATACCCTATCAGGTCGACCTCCACGCGGTTCTCCCTGGAAACTATCGTGACTAATTTATTATTAAATTCGTCACGATGGGCGCTAACTAACCCACCTTTTTATCCTCATCTATCATACCTAATTGATGCCCCTCCAGCGTATACCGTTAGCGTAGGGTTACTATTCCATTAAAAAAACATAAGTTTAAGGAAATTGCGACTCAGAATTCTATCCCACTATCTGCGGTAATTCTGAACTAACTTCGGTAATTCTTTAAGCAATCGATATTGTTTACTCCTGTCCTGTACTTCGATTGCCCTCAAAAATACATTATCTTCTTCCTTAGGCTATGGTATTCACTCGTCCATCGACAATTCCGTATCCGACCGTATGGCGTCGCTTCACCGTCCAACGAGGAGCTACCGCCATTAACTTTCGCATCCAGGACCTGACCGAGGACATGTTCGAGCCAGCTGTGGCATTGCTGGTCAAGTACTTCACTAAAGATGAACCACCTTGCAAGTACATAGGTATTTATTTATTTATTAGTACAAATATGTGTACATGGCGGACTTAATGCTAAAAGCTTTATCTCCCAGTCAACCATAGGGAAGTGTCGGAATACTCGAATGCGGTACTACTAATTATTGATATACATACATACTAAAATTACATATATAAACGAATATAGGTATGTAAATAACTGAAGAAAGAAGTTAATATATTTTGAAAAATTAAAATGGATATTTGTGTTATGGTGTTACCGTTTTTTTTTTTTTTTTTGCAATTTAGAATGGCAAACATGCTGACGGTCCACCTGATGGAATTTGGTAATCTTCGCCTATAGACATGAGCATTTCTATAAGCCCCCATGCGTTGTCATTCCTGAGGACTAACGTGTTATTCCTCTGTACTCGTTTGTTTTTAAATTCTCGGGAATTTGGCTCTGGATATAAAGTCCTTCGTCTCACCAGGTTTTAAAACAAAACAATTTTTCAGGTATCCATAACCATCCGATCGCGATGGCTGAACTTGAGAAGCTATGGCGAACTACGATCAAAGACAAAATGTCTCTGGTCTGCGTGGAGGACAATGACTGTGCTGCTATCGTCGGGGTGAACGCCCTGACCGTGGTCTGCAAGGATGACAAGGATAAGCCGTTCAAGGTTATATATCTCGAAATCGCTTTTTTTTTAACACAGGAGGCAAACGAGAATGCCACTCACCTGATGATAAGTGACTACCGCCACCTATAATCAACCACAACACCAAAACAAAAAAAGGAATATGCTGATTACATTAACAATTCTTTTTTTTTTATTTTTTTTTTTATACAGCTTAGAATGGCAAACAAGCTGACGGACCACCTGATGGAAAGTGGTAACCGTCGCCTATAGACATGAGCAGTACCATGGACATAACAGAGTATACTGTTTCGCCCATGACACCCCCCATGCGTTGCCATTCCTGAGGACTCAGATGTTATTCCACTGTACCCTGTAAATTTACGCCATATCCCACCCTTTAAACCGAAACACAGCCATGCAAACATAACTGCTTCACGGTAGAAACACGAATGGGACAGAGGTACCCAAGCAATCGACTAGAATTAATTAGACTAAGTTTTATCGAGGGTTTTTTTTTAAGTTTTCTCCCAAAAAAAGACTGATTTCAGATGCCGTATGTTTCTCCCGATAATACGTAAGGACCTGTATGTGTCTCACTCATGTCATTGCCACCAAGGAACTCCTCTCGCATGGTTCTTTTGATTTCAACTTTCTCAAATAGCTCATTCTTTTTTAGATATATTATAGAAAATATAATTTTAGACAGAAGACAAAGTGTGGGCAGCTCTCTTCGGTGCTGTGGATCTGGTGACGCGTAGCGTGGACGTCTTCACCACTTACAATGTGGACAAATATCTGACCGCGTACGGCCTGGTCGTGGCGCCCGAGTGGAGGGGCTGCAACGTCGGTAAAGAGCTGTTGCAGGCCAGGTGAGTTTCTACATGGAATGACCACCTAATGCTGAGAGGTGAAGGGAATATTATTAATGGGTAATAGGTGTAATATGGTCCCATTGCTAGCATTATACCTCCACGTGATTCCCTCTGGAAAACATAATTGTTTTTTTCTGATGGGTGAAAATGGTATGGTAACCCCGCCTGCGCTAACGGGTTACGCTGGCGGAGCACCAGTGAAGGGTGATAGATGAGAATGAAAACAGGCCAGTTAGCCCATCATGATGAATTCATCAGGAATTAACCTTGATAGTTTCTAGGGAGAACCGCGAGGAGGTCGATCTGGTTGGGTATATTGCTAGCAATGGGATTCTCAGTCTCAATTACTAACAATCCATTTCCCCCAAACATAATTTGTGACGATGGGCCAACTGACCTACTTTCATTCTCACCTATCATCCCTCACTATTGTCTTGTTAGTGTAATACAAAAACGCGGGCGGGATCACCATTCGATTGTCAACTATTAAAAAAAAACAATAGCAAAATAATTTTGTTTAATTCCGCTACCATTAATACGTGTGTGGCTGCCAACACTCGAAGATTGACCACCACTATTACTATCGGAAGTTACATAAACATTCATATTAGCCATCGATCTCCGACTGCCATTCTGTACCCGCACGTTTTGCGATACGTGTTTCACCTCTAAACGAGGCATCGTCTTTTAAATTAAATAACCAGTGATATGGATTTCCACAAGATTTCATTCATTAAAAAGAAATCGTGTACTGGTCCACGGCGAAAACAGAGATCCGTCCGACCTGATACCCACACAGCGGATCGTATAAAACTCTATCACTAATAAATATAGTATTAAGTCCGCCTTTTGTACCAGACATTTTTTTGTAATGTGGTCAATAAAGCATAAATAAAATAAAAAAAAAAAATATAGAATAGATCGGAAAAATCTATCCCGCCTCTTTTCCGACGCGGGCAACATTCCCCGCATTCCATTACGATACCTCTCCGCTATTCACGACCCTGTCATGCCAACCGCAGGCGTTCCTTTATTTCCACGTAATTGAATACGCTTAGGTATTATTTGATGAGATCGAATTTTATATTTTCTTACTTACTAACGCGTTAAAATTTAAGACTTACAATTTTAGCGAAAAAAATTATATTGTATGAAATCATCTGCAAGTAGAGATTTTTTAAGCAGCTTAGAATGGAAAACAAGCTGTCACCCCACTTGATGGAAAGTGGTAACCGTCGCCTATAGACATGAGCAGTACCATGGACATAACAGAGTATGCTGTTTTGCCCGTGATGACTGAAATCACTGATCTTATAAAGCATCAACATCAGTCTGTAGCACAATTTTTCATAAATACGCTGCGCTTAGTAAAAAAGCACAATTTTTTTAACGTCACGAAAAACTCTTAATTATTTTTTTAATCTTATCAAATCTAACTTTGTTTCAAATTTAATTTCTCAATTCATAAACTTTTCATAAATAAGTAAACATTAAAAATTTTGTTTAGATTCAGAGATTCATCATCAATAAAAACTTTTTCTTCGCATGAAAAAAGGTAACCTATTAACTTGTCAAAAAACGTTGCCATAGTTTTCTTGTCATGGTGAAATTACTTCATAGTGCTTAATAGTTCCCATTATTTTTAATATTTTTTTAATTAATGTTTTGTGATATAGTTAAAAACTTTCGTTAAAAAAAATGGTTCACGTATTGCCAAGAAGAAAACAGAAAAAATGTATTTGCGATACAGAAGGATTGCTAAAGAAAATAATAGGATCACCAACGAGTTTACCATGTACAGAATTAAACTTAATTCGATTAAATTTATTCACAGAAAGAAATTCAGATGGAACTGGCTTTTTAATATTGAAAGGAAATGATTTGTATGATAGATACAATGCAAGAATTAACGATAGAGACATTAGAGCTATTTGTCTATTCATAAAACAGTCTTCAAGAAGAATTACCAAGTTAGATTTATGTTACAATGAAATTACTGACAAAGGATTTTTTAAATTGCTCAGAAATTTACTAATCAAAGGACGTTCTAGTATAATAAATTTGAACATTATGCATAATCGCATTACCGAGGAATCTTTGTTGAGTCTCGCTAACACAGCCTCTTTGATGAAATTAAAATATTTAAGACTTAATGGCAATGACTTTGGAGTGAATGGCGCCGAATATTTCGCCAGGTTTCTGAGAGATAACAAAAGCCTGGAATATTGTGATTTAGCTGAAACCAACATAACTTTGACTGGCCTCGCTCATGTTATTACAGCTCTCAGAATTGATCATGGAGCGAATACAACACTAAAAGTGTTGGATTTAAGTAGAGTCGTTCCTTTATACGATCGCTACGCTTATGAAACGAAGTGGCTTGCATATCACATAGAATATCTCTTGGAAAGGAACGATTCCATAATAGAACTGCATTTACAGAAGAACCAATTGATTTCACACGACGTAGAGTATTTTACGAGAGGATTGCGAAATAATAAGACATTATTATATCTAGATTTGGGGTATAATAAAATAGGCGATCATGGCATCGAATTACTAGCTAAATATTTGGCAGAATCACCGCAATTATTGTTGTTAAATGTAGCCGGTAACTCGATAAAAGACATAGGAGCCAGAGCATTGAGTTTGGGAATGCCATACTCGAAGATACGTGCTTTGGATATTTCACAAAACAACATAACCGATCGTGGTGTTCTTGATTTATTGAACACATTGAAGAAGCCTTATTACTTGAGGTTTCTAAATATTTGGGGGAATAAATTTGGCCATGTGGCGTGTGGGGTGATCCAAAGAATGCTTCTAAGTGGAGCGTTATTTCAGCACACGATTGACGTGCAAATTTACGAAGTCGATGATGTATTGTACGCGGCGTATTATCCAAATCCAGCGGACAGGAGTAAACATTTGTATTACAGCGAGTTGGATTACGGGTATGCGCTCCCAATTGAACATGTAAAAAGGAATGTCGTTGTTGAAAAAAGGAAAGTCAAAGTCGATTGCAAACACCGGCGTAAATTGGACAAGATGAACAGGGACAGATTTTGAAGTCTTTAAGATTTTGTTTACAGTTTGTTTTTTTTTTTTAATAAATGCTTAATATTTGAATATTTATTTATAACTGTTAGTGAAAATAAATTTTATAAGACTGATTTTCAATTTCCGTTACCTAATAAATAGAAAGAAACAATGCGAATATGATATGTACTGTATTTTTTTAATAAAATGATTAATTTAGAAATAGATGAAAATGCAAATAATTTTGCCCACGCTATCTATATATGATTCCTTTATCATTTCATATCACTATTATTTAAAAAAGTGAGGGTATACACTTTTTTTCAATGGATGATAATGGACTAGTAACCTCGCCTGCGCTAACGGTATACGTTAGCAAGGCACCAGTGAAGGATTATAGGTGAGAATGAAAAAGCAAGTCTATTAGCCCGTCATAACAAATACACTAGAAATTCAGCACGATGTTTTCCCGGGGGGGATTAAGTGGAAATCGACCTGATAAGGTATTGCTAGCAATAGGACTGGTAGTCCGCATTACTAACAATCTCTTTCCCCCTTTACCTTTACTGGTGTCCACCAGTGAGGGTATATGAATTGATAAAGTGAAGTTGAAATCGAATCAGTTGACCTATTGTGATCAATTTACCAGGGATTAACTACGATGGCTCGCAAAGGACCTCGTAAACGTAGTCCTGACATTGGTATTTATTAAACTCCTTATAAAAATTCATGCATAAACACTTACTTTTCAGGGTCCCACTGTGCAAAGCACTAGGTCTCAAGGTAACGGCCACGGTGTTCACAGCAGCAGCGTCTCAGACCGTGGCCAAGAAGGCGGGCTTTGTGGACCTGAGCGAGATCACATACGAAGAACTTGCGAAGAAAGGGATGGTATTCCCTGGCATCGAGGAGGATACAAAATCGTCCAAACTAATGGCGTTGCTGATTGAGTAGATTATGCAAATTTATATGTAATCACTAGCTTTTTCCTGCAGCTTCGCATGCCTGGAATATTATCTTCCGTTCTGGTCGGAATTCCAAGTAATTCCTTCTTTGTGCTTGTTCATATTGAAGTTATGTTTTGTGTAGGAATGCAGTTCTATGGATGACCAGGTTGGTCTAATTTTGTTAATAGATGATAATGGAATGGTAACCCCGCCTGTGCTAACGGTATATGCTGGCGGGGCACCAGTGAGGGATGATTAGTGAAGGTGAAAAGGCAGGTCAGTTAGCCCATCGTGACGAATTCAACGATAAATTAGTCACGATGGTTTCCAGGGGGAACCGCGTGTAGGTCGACCTGATAAGATATATTGATAGCGATGGGGACCATTACTAACAATCCCTTCCCCCCAGGTAAGTCATACCTACCTATAGTTAAGAAGTAAGAATGTAATGTTACCCCAACCTGCGCCATTAGTATAATCTGGCTGAATTCCTTAAGAATTAACGACTATCTTTCTGGGATGGGTTTTTTATACCTCATTCCTGACAATCCCTTTTTCCCCAACCTCCATATATGAGGTAGAAAATGAAACTTTTATATTTTAATGGATGATAATGCAATTGTAACCCCGCCTGCGCCGCCAGACTACGTACGGGTAAACACAGTCTAGGACGACCCTCCGCTAGATGGAGTTACGACGTGAAATGCGTTGCAGGGAGTCAGTGGATGCAAGTGGTTTAGGACCGTTCTTTATGGCAGTCTTTTTTTTATACAACTTAGAATGGCCAACAAGCTGACGGCCCACCTGATGGAAAGTGGTAACCGTCGCCTATAGAATGAGCAGTAGCATGGACATAACAGAGTATACTGTTTCGCCCATGATACCCCCATGCGTTGCCATTCCTGAGGACTCAGGTGTTATTCCTCTGTACCCTGTAAATTCACGCCATATCCCACCCTTCAAACCGAAACACAGCCATGCAAACACAGTTGCTTCACAGTTGAAACACGAATGGGACAGAGGTACCCAAGCAATCGACTTTTGTACAAAGTCTCCCTCTGGTGAAAGTCTATGGGGGAGGTTTATGTCCAGCAGTGGACGATGATGATGGCTGTTTAATGTTTTATTATTATTATTATAATTATTGCAATTGTGTTACTGTGATATTATTGTTATGTATAATTAAAAAAAAAATATTAATTATTAAGCTATAATTATTTTGTAATCAACTTTCTAGTTATATCTATGTATATAAGCACCTGTTGCATTAATATCTTATTGAATTTAATTCTTTGGAATTGGATATAATTTATGAATTTACATTTTATAAAGAAAGGTTCTTGAGTGGCGACCGCGTACGGGTAAACGTAGTGTAGGACGACCCCCCCACTAAATAGAGTAACGACGATGAAATGCATTTTTTTTATGGGTGAAAATGGTATGGTAACCCCGCCTGCGCTAACGGGATACGCTGGCGGAGCACCAGTGAAGGGTGATAGGTGAGAATGAAAACAGGCCAGATAGCCCATCATGATGAATTCATCAGGAATTAACCATGATAGTTTCCAGGGAGAACAGCATGGAGGTCGACCTGGTTGGGTATATTGCTAGCAATGGGATTCACAGTCTCCATTACTAACAATCCCTTTTCCCCCCACAAATACTTGGGTTAATATCATTTAGATGAATATTTTGCATTTCTTTTTTAGTCATAAGTACAACCAATACATGTTATACCACTATTTATTTTTAAAATTAAAAATAATATTGTAATATATTGCATTTATTCTATAAATGGTGTCTTAAAAATTGTATTGTACCTATTTATCTCGTTACAAACAATATTAAAATTATAAGAAAATTAAACATTTAAGAGTTTCTATCATTGTGCGGCTCGCCATCGACAGGGAGTTCACCCTCACACCTTACAGCCTAAATGGTACAACGTACGAACACTCAGGTTATGGAATGAGCTCCCTGCCGAGGTTTTCCCAAGAGACTACAGCATGGGGTTCTTCAAAAGGGGGGTAAAGAAGTTTCTTCAGGGTCGGCAACATGCGTGTAATACCTCTGGTATTGCAGGCGTTCATAGGCTACGGTAACCGCTTACCATCAGGTGGGCCGTACGCTTGTTTGCCACCTCAGTGGTATAAAAAAAAGTGTCCGGATTTTATTTCTCTTCTACTTTTTTTTTAAAGCATGGAACATACGAGCATAAAGCCAGTAGGGGACGATGGGGGAATTGCGGATGCTAAAAAGAAATAACGTACAAAATCTGTAGGCAATATTAGAATTAATCAATCTGACTTTATTCGCAATGAAATTTTAGTTTTACATTTACAAAATCAACATGAATTAGATCGAGATTAATAAATTATTATATTTTTTTTTTTTTATGAAAAACAAAACCTTGTCTGTCCGTAATTACCTATAGCCCTTGGAATAAATACGGACGAATGTTGGGTTTATTTATTTATTTAACACTTTATAGCACCAACATAACATGATTTGTTAAACAATTTTCAATACGTATAGTGTAGTACAAAAGGCGGTCTTATTGCTAATTTTTTTTTTTATTTTTACGCATTTTAATAGATTTTCTTTATTGTTTTTTTTGGTTTCCTTTTTTTTTTGTTATTTGTAATAACATATTATATAACAATACTGAAACTTGCGAAAGTGCCATTAATTTTTTTTTATATCTACTGGGTAAGTTCCAGCAGACATGAAACCATTTATAGCTTTGTCTATATTTATTGATCTATTAAAAGCTTTTGTGTAAAGACCTACTACATCACAAGTTGTAATTATAGCTCCCGAGTTGTTGTCCATTAAGAATTCACATTCCTTGTTATATGCATTTTTAGTAGCCCATAGAATGTTAAGTCCAAAGGCTGCATTTTATGCGATATGTGAGACAAAGTTAAAACTTGGATAAAATTCTTGCGACAAAACTCTTAAGCTTTCAGACTTACGTGACCCAGTACTAGTAAAATGGGATTATTCTTAGTGTGGATTATAATAAGTATTTATTATTTTAAATTACTTTAAAACGGAGAAGATTCTTAATTGGTCTGTATTTTTTATGTATCTCTACCAATTTAGACGACCTTTATGCGATTCATATAGTTTACTTACCCAATTCCATCGACTGGGAATAAAACGAGAGTAAACTCTATTAATTTTAAGTATATTTTTTTCAATAAATTTTAAATTATGATCGGACATGTCTTATTAAAAATAATTACAATTTTTTTATTACTGTCGTTGGCTCTATCAACGTCATCTACATAAAAAATAATGAAATATTTCAAAACTTGCTCAATTTGAAGTAAATAGTTCTTACTTACACTAATAGATGGAAATACTTTACAAGTACACTAAAGTTTTTAGCACTGGTAAGTTTAACTAAAATAGAAAAAAAATTATTTGGTACTTCACATAGTGAATGAATAAAAGAAATAGTCTTTTTAACTTCATTTTTAACTGTATAATAATTAAAGACGTCTTATTTAAGGGACAATCTAAAATTTATTTCGGCAACACTGTACGACTGTGGCGTTGCCCCCTCCTCCTCCTTCCCACACAGTTCTTCCTTTCCCCTCACCACATAAACCTGTCAAACGGTTGTTGACTCGGTTCTTTCTGTCGTTTGTTCTCTCTCTACAAATTGGATTATTTTATCGAATTAAATTTAAATAGTTACGAAATAACTATTTCTATATAAATATATTGTTGTTTTAGTGTTTATTTAGCTTCTGTGTTGTGGAAAAGGCTTAGAAAATATGGCTTTAAGTTAAAAAGTGCAAAAAGTGAATTTGATTAATCGTATGCTCGTTTTGTTGTTTAATACCGCATCCTGTTTACTAATTCCTTCTATGGGTTTTCCTCGATTTCCTGCGATTATAATCGAGTAATCACTGTTATTATATTTGCTTCCAATTATTCGGAGAAAAAAAAATAAAAAAAAATGTGTTCAGTGTTCGTGTTTCAAAATGTATGAAATACTTATTTAAATTTTTTGGTAATTGTATTGTGGATGCATGATTTAGACTTCTCGCATTGAATGAAGGTATGTTAATTTATTATATATCTTTTGCTGTATTTGAAACCCTTTATGGGGTAGTATCCTTTATGGAGCTACCCCCATTAAGGATACTGACCTGCATCAGTGGTCAATGGATACCTTTATTATCAAGTTTCAAATACTGTTATACTAGTGATCCACTCTGGGTCTGTGTGAACCCAATTGAAAAAAAAAAATAGTATTTTATATTAGCTTGAATAGGCAAATTTTTGATATCATGGTTTATTTATTATATATAAAATATAATAAATAAACCATGTAACCATATATAGTTATTTTTACTAAAATAATATATAGTGTATATTACAAATTAAATCTGTTTAAATTTTTTTAAGTTTATCCATTATAAATAAATATATGTAAAATAAAAATCCTATTTTAAAACTTTATTTTTTTATAATGCTAAATACTTACTATATTTTACATGTATATTTTTCTTTAACAATGTATATTAAGTACTTATATATAAAACCTATAAACAGTTATAGGATATAAAGAGGTATAATTTAATGACAAATGTGCACAGTTGATCACACATAGACTTTTCAATAACCATAATAACATAGTAACAATTAAATACAATATGTGTGTACTTAAAATGTATGTTAGCAGAGATTTAAAAATGTAACTGTTGTTTTTATTGTGGGTCTTCTCAGCAGATAATAACTTTTTTTTATACAACTTAGAATGGCAAACAAGCTGACGGCTCACCTGATGGAAAGTGGTAACCATCGCCTATAGACATGAGTAGTACCATGGACATAACAGAGTACACTGTTTCGCCCATGATACCCCCCATGCGTTGCCATTCCTGAGGACTCGGTTGTTATTCCTCTGTACCTTGTAAATTCATGTCATATCCCACCCTTCAAACCGAAACACAGCCATGCAAGCACAATTGCTTTACAGTTGAAATACGAATGGGACAGAGGTACCGAAGCAAATGACTTTTGTAAAAAGTCTCCCTCTAATTCCTGAACCCTGTAGTAGATTAAAAAAAAAAAGATATTGTAGTGCTTGTAAACTAGTCTACTTGAATAAAGATACAACTTATGTTCTGCAAGACTGATCTTTCTATGCAAGTTAATGGAACATAAAAGAAACAGGTATTATATAGAAGAGAATGGATAAAATTAATTCTCTTTTTATTTTTATTACTTATTTTCCCATATTCATAATGGAGTAATAAAATGCAATAAACCAAGTTATACCTTTTTATCTCTAAGATCTCATAAGTGGTGACTAAATGTTTTATTATTATTACTTGCTTTTACCTATGTCTTTGTCTGCGTGGGATATGTTCACTGACCTGAATGAAAAGTAGCCTATAACCTTCTCTGTGCCTTATGGTTTGTGTGTATAAAATAGTAATTGGTTAAGCTGTTAAAGTATTAACAAACAAACTTGCTTTCACATATAAAATACATACATACATACATATCTGTCATGCCTGATGCATCGAAGCATTTGTTATTCCATTGTTTCTGCCTACCCTAATGGGAGACATTTAAAATATTATAGCAATAATAATAATAATTATTATTAATAATTTTTAATTCGGACTTTTTTGGTCCATTAAATATTTATTAGTAACAATATTCTTAAAATTAATGTTAGTAAATTTACATACACAATACACACACACATAATATATTAAATAATATACAGATAATCACCGCTGCACAATTCCATTGGAAATTGTGCAGCAGTGATTAACGTATACATAGTCCAGCCTGCGTGCTATCATACTCAGGATGCTGTTGGCGCTGGCACATACTGTGCACACCAGAGATGCACACCTTTTTCGCATTGTGGCATAAAAACAAATATAGCCTGTAACAGTATAAAAACTTAAAATAAAACTATATACCAAGCTGCTTGGCTGTCAGCATGTTTTAATTAAGTATAGTGTCAATCATAGGCAGCAGTTTCACTCTTAAAACATCACCAAAGCTAAACAGTGATTGCTGACCCACCTGACAAGCGTGGCAACTACTGGCAAAAGCCCACCAAGGGGGAGGCTTATGTTAAGCAGTGGACAGTTATAGATAGCATTAAATACGCCTTGCACAAATACATGTCATCATCATTATCATATCACCCTTAATATCCACTGATGAACACAAGCCTCCCCCTTGGGGGTTTTGCCAGTAGTTGCCATGCTTGGCAGGCGGATTGGCAACCGAAGTTAGGCTTTAAAGTTGTTTTAAGAGGGACAATGCTGCCCATCCCTCGCCCTATCTTAGTCGTCTATTACAACTCCCATGAGAAAGGAAGCGGTGGCCTATTCTATGCCGGGACCATATGTCCAATTTATTAGTACACATTACTACATTTTACCAGAGGGAGACTTTAGACAAAAGTCGATTGCTTGGGTACCTCTGTCCCATTCGTGCTTCAACCGTGAAGCAGTTGTGTTTTGCATGGCTGTGTTTCGATTTGAAGGGTGGGATATGGCGTGAATTTACTGGCTACAAAGGAATAACATCTGAGTCCTTAGGAATGGCAACGCGTGGGGGGTATCATGGGCGAAACAGTATACTCTGTTATATCCATGGTACTGCTCATGTCTATAGGCGACGGTTACCACTTTCCATCAGATGGGCCGTCAGCTTGTTTGCCATTCTAAGTTGTATAAAAAAAAATGAACTACTTAATTAAGTAGTTATTAA